TGGGGCACAGAGACATCACAGGTAATTAGTCGGTGCATTTCCCATGACAAGCTCAGGGCTAAGCACAAGGTAGATATTTTTTTTAAATGCATATCTTAGCCGGGCGGTGGTGGCGCACGCCTTTAATCCCAGCACTTGGGAGGCAGAGGCAGGCGGATCTCTGTGAGTTTGAGACCAAGCCTGGTCTACCAAGAGAGTTCCAGGACAGGCTCCAAAACAATACAGAGAAACCCTGTCTCGAAAAACCAGAAAAAAATGCATATCTTAGGGCTTAGGTGTGGCCCAGGGGTAGAATGCTGCCTAGCATGTACAAGGTCCAGGGTTTGATCCCGGCACTACACAAAACCAAAAATTTTAATGTTTTTCAGGTTGCCTCTTTTAGCCATTTCCAATCTCATGGAGGTGTCCAAATCTTCAGGGTTTCACACTTCGAAAAGTAGCTTATCTTCCCTTCCAGAGCTTCCAAGACTGAACATAAGGTACGGCCAAGAACATTGGAGGCAAGCTGGCCTCTCTGGCTCTGCTGCTAGGTCCACATGCCCTGAGAAAGAGGCTTCAACATGGACCTGTTGGTCTGGGAGGTATGTGAGCCTGAGGGACACCAGGTGGCCACCTGCCTCTTCCTCTCTGGGCTCCTTGTCATCCCTCAGGTTTTCAAAGTCCTATTCCCACAGTCACATGCCTTCCTGAACTCCCGAAGATTCTGGAATTCTGAGACTTGCTGAACACTACCTACATTTGTCTCTTTGTCTTCATAGTCACCTGCTTCTTTCCTCCTCAGCCCCTGGAGGAAGGGCTGCCTCAATTTTCCTTCTTCTTGGTCCCTTACTATCTTCATTTCTCTTTCTCCTGGGCTCTTTTCTACCTGCCCTTCTCTCCTGCATCCTCCGGGGTGTGCCTCTGTTTGTGTCCTTGGCATAGCTGTTATCTGTCTTCCAGTCCAATGTGCCCCATTCTTGGCGATCTGGTGCATCCAGGAATGCAGGAATGGTATGTTATGTATGGTGTGATACCTGGTATATCGGAGAGTGGGCCTAGGATCTCTTGCTACCTTAACATGATGAGACAACCCTCTGCAGCAGGGCAGCTTCAGAGCCCCTCCACCCATGACATCCATCTTGAGAGCTACCCACTGGCTCCCATTGCTCCTTGGAGCCCCTTTGCCCAACCCAGGGGGCAAGAACCCTCAGGGCCACATGAGCAGGGTGTTTGTCTGCTGCCCCAAGGACCAGGTCTCTGTGGCTTCTCTTAATGAACCAGTCTTCAGTGACACATTCATTATTCCTGTTCAGTCGCTCCGAGTCAAAACTGATTAGTTACACTTACCGTTGCAAAGATGTAATGATTTTATTGTTTATCTTCAATTTATTTTGATTAACATCTCCGTTCTTTTCATTGCAAGTGCAATTAGGTGCGATCTAACAGCGACTACTTTAATTTTGTTGAAATTAAGATGAATAAGTGACGGCTTATGGTGCTTTGTTTAACAAATAAATCATAGTTAAGAGGAGTGTATTAGTAATAAATGAAAAAAAAGACAGCGTAATTAAAATGCACGGAGCCAGCCTCTTGATGTACATCCAAAAACCAAATCTGGATTCCAAAAATCAGAAGGAGCAGAGGGTTAGAAAGATCCTTGCTGCCTCTGAATACCGCGATCAGAGGACGACAGCCGGTTTTGAAGCCGCTGCTGAGTGTAAAGCAGGCAGAATATTATGGTCCTCCTGAGAAGGTCCCAATTTGTCACCGGGGGAACCTGAGAAGAAGCAGATGTGGGCCGGGAAGAGAGGCCTCATGACCCCCTAAGAGACCAGGGGCAGTCCACAGCCTGATTCTCTTCCGGAGACTACTACAAGCAGGGTCCAGATCCCTGTCCCCATCTGTGTGTATGGGGAGGGCCAGGTCGCCCAGCCTGGGGAGTCCCTCGCCAAGCCCAGACCCCAGGGCAAGTCGGCTCTCCTCCCCACTGGGTTGAGAGGGACTTCCCCGTCTCTTGATTTGGAAACAAAGTGCAGAAAGTCAGCCCTGGAAAGTTTCCCCGTGTGAAGTTTAAAAGCGCTTGTGCCGAAGAGGCCGGCTTTGAAGCAGCTCGCGGGGCCCCTCGGCAGGCTCCTGCGAGTCAGAGGGCCGGCCTCGCCTCAGATCCGCCTGCCTGCCTCCGCAGGGCTGGGAAATGGGAATTGTTTTTAAGTTGAAAAATTACTCGCGGAGCTGACTCCTCTACCACCGCCTTCCTTTTGTTCTCAGCTGTCTCCTGCTTCACTCTGCCTTCTCTCTCTCTCTCTTTGCTTCTTCCTTTTAGCGAAAAGGAACCAGTCCGCCTGGGTTCAAACCCTAGTACAGGCCGCTCAGGACGGTCAGGAGCGTTCACCTTTCTGGACCCTAGCAGTTTATCAGAAAAGGGAAGGTAACTGTGCCCAAGAGGCAGGGTGCTGGGAAGGCTGTCAGAGGTTACTGCTTACCTGGCACGGAGGAAGAGCTCCCACGTGCTCTAAAGACCTGTCTACCTGCAGCTGGCTGCATAGACAAGTCTCGGCCTCAGCGCCTCATTTGAGTCCTCCTCCCTTTCCAACCCTTGGCGTGGACGCTGTTTTTTGTTTCCATCCTCTCAGTATGTGTTACTGAGTGTTCGCCTTTGGTCAGGCATGGTGCCACACCCGGGGGTCTAGGATGTATATCAATTCAAGGCAGGCCTACCCTCAGAGAACTTGCAGTCTCAAGCACTCCGTCAGACTCCCTCATACTGGTCGTTGATATCCTGTGTTCCAAAGTGTCTATGATTGTTTTGGGAGGGCAGGAACAATACCCGACACGTAGCCTGTCACACAGCAGATGACCCCTGGCCACTGTTCCTTCAATATAGCCGTTTGAGGTCAGCTCCTGTGTGCCTGACATGATGGCATAGAGATCTAACTATGAACATGTTCTCTTAGGAAGGTCACTTAGGTAAAGAAAGAGAAGACACTGAGATAAAGTGGTGGAGGATGCAAATGGCGTGTCTCCCCGGACCTGGCTTCCTCCAGGTCAGAAGCAGGAAACTAGGATTGAAGTGGTTGCAGGTTAGTATTAAGGCAGGCAGTTCCCGCCACTGAGGTTCAGATTCCTACATAGCATCCCTAGGACCCGCCCCCTCAGCCTGGACCACCTCTCCAGCCGCATTCTCCTCCCACACATGCCTTTCCGGCCCTGGTATTTCTGCCTCTGCCGAGCACAGCTTTCACCCATTCCTCCAGCATGCTTTTCTAGCAGACTGCGTCCCCTGGTCTCTCCCTCAGGTCTCAGCGTTAATGACCACACCTTGAGAAAGTCCTTCCTGGTCCCCTCCTCCTTCAAGACCAGTTCCTCAGGATACTTGGTCACAATGTGTATCCCTTCCCTCCAGTTAGGAGCCAGTGCATAAATGCAGAAACCACACCTGCCTTGGGAGTTGTCACCTCTTCTGTAGCACCTAAATAAAACCTAGGGCAGAGTGGAAACTTTCCATAGACTGGCACATTAGACAAACCACAAATAATCTAACCACAAAAGAAAACTGGCCATTGCTTCTATTTCCTAGATGAGGAAACAAGCTTGGGATGGTGTGACCTGACCAAGTAAGTCATCTTGAACTCATGTCTGTTTGACTCTGAAGACACATACCATCTAGGAGGAACCTCCTGGTGTTTAAAAGCCAATCATAGGGCCCGGTAAGAAAGAGCCAGCAGGTGACACAGTCTGGAATATCAGACCCAGCTCTAAGGTGTACCCAACCAAAATCTGGAACAGGGGTTAAGAAACCGCAGGTATGATTCAGGAGGGGCTTTGGAGACCCCAGAAGAAAACCCTTGACATTCCCTGCTAAATTGGTCTGGCTTGCCCTGGTGACTGAGCAGCTGCCAAGGTGGCTGCTGCCTTTGCTAATGTGTGAGTTTCGGGAGGGGATCCAGAGCCCCTGGTACACCCTGCTTCCACACCTCGCTTCACAACCTCCTCCTTGTTTATTAGCTTGTATTAAAGATAATGAAACTGCAACTGAGGGCTTGGGGTGACTTGTCCGAGGTCCCACGGCAGGGAAAGGACTTGAGTTGGATTCTGGGGACCTCTGTTCCAAACAGGGACAGGAAAGAACAGCCTATCTTTCCGAGCAGAGGGAGAAAGGGGTACCGAGTTGGGGGTTGGGGACGTAGAAATTAGAGAGAGGGAGAAAATGGTGAGGATGAGAGAGGAGAGAGGGGTAGGAGAGGCAGCCCCACCTTGGGAAAGAGAGGCGCAGCCAGGAAATGCTGGGGACACAGGGAGTGTTCTAGGGAGGACAGGAGACGAAGAGATAGACACCCAGGATGGATGGAGACTGAGGGAGGCGGGCCAAGCCAAACCGGGAGCGGGGCCAGCGAAGCCGGTGACGGGGCGGAGGGGGGGGGTGCGGGGGGGTGCGGGGGGGGTGCGGGGGGGGCAGGAGCCCAGCCGGCGCGGGACGGCGGCGGGCGGGGCACCCAGGCCAGGACGCTGCAGCGCAATCGCCTCTTCTCCGCGCTCCCGCCGGCCCAGCCGCCCCCGCCCGCACCCGCAGCCTAATGACCGCGTCCGGTCCGAGCCCACTCGAGGCGGCCGTCAGCTGGCAGCGCGGGGTTCACGGGGACAGAGCGCCGCAGCCAGGGTGGCAGCTCCCGGGGCTCCGCGGGCCCTGATTGATTTGTCAGCCCAGGCGAGCCAGCAGCCACTCCGATCACTGCTGCACCGCCCCGGCTCCCGGGCCGGCCCCTCAGGCTGGAGCGCCCCGCCGGCCCCAGGAGGGAGCCCCTCGTCCCTCGGTCCGCTCCCCGGCGCCCCTCCCCGGTCCCCTGCGGGCATCGCCAGGCCCCGGGGCTGCCCTCCGCCCGGTCCCCCCCTTTGGGCACCGTGCCAGCCCCGCCAGTGCTCGCCCTGCTGCTGCCCCCCAGTCCTGTACCGCCGCCCCCCGCGCCCCGGCCCTGGCCCGGGGCTGCCCGCAGAGCCGGCCACACCCGCTGCCGAGGGCTCACCAAGGTAAGAGGCTCCGGGGAGGACTGCGTGCAAGGCACTGGGCTGGGCCACCGCGGGCACTCTCAGGTCGGCATAGACGCTTCGGCTGCCACCCAGCCCGGAACCTTCGAGGGCCTGGAAGGAACTGGGTGATAGTTACTAGTCTTCCAGTCCTGGGAGTGAAGGGTCTGGCTTTCGAGTACGGAGCTCTAGTGTCCATCTCTTTTAAGGAATTCTCTTCCTCTCTCACTATCATCTCTAGGTCTCTGAAGTCACCATTTCCTGATGTCTCTTTAGAGGAATCACCCCTTTTCTTCTCCTTTCCCTAAGCAAGAAGTGGATCTCTATTCCTCTTCCCAAACAAGCCCATTTTCTCTCCTTCCCAGTTTGGAAAGGTTTGTTCCCTCTTTCTCACTCCTCAATTTAGAAAGAATTCCTCTCTGCCCACAATTTACAACCGTCTCAGTCAGCAGCACCCTCCCATGCTGAAGGCTAGACGCTCTTTTCTGTTACCCCTTTACCCCCACTTAATTAGATGAGCAGTTCGAGTCTTTAACTCGGGACAGGGGAGCGGGTGTTTTTCTGGTGTGGGGGCGAAGCAGAGAGACTTTTCGCTCAAAGCCAGGTACCAGCCGTCCATCTGTGCCAGAACGAAGACAGCTGCCCAGCCTCAGTCAGGTGCATTTGCTTCCAGGGGCAAGAAGGAAAGATTTTACCCTCAGACAAAGAATTAAGCCCAAGGGAGTCTTTTCTAACACCTTCCAAGGGGGGAGCCTCTCAACCTCTGGACAGGGGGCTACACCTAGCTTCCCTCCTGCACCCCTTAACTTTAAAGTAGTTTAATGAACACACAGAGAGAAATCATTTGTTTTTCACTGCGTGGTGAGCAGTCTACAAAGAGAAATAGGAAAGGAGGGAGAGAGCCTTATCTCTGATCCCCGCAATTAGTTCCCTGGGATGAGGGGGGGCAACCCCGGAGCCTCAGTTCTTCAGACACAAAAGCATTTAGATCGCTTTAGACCGGTTAATCCTGAGTCTGGCTCGGGTCTCTTTTGTTTCCCAACTCCATTGTGGGTTTTGTGCAGTTTCTCTGTGTTCGAGTGATTGACTAGCCAATGGATGGTAATTATCCAAATGTCCCCTCTGTCCTTTGACTGACTTCTCTGTATTATGGGCAACTGTCATGCATTCTGTCATTCCATATCATATTACACGTATTATCATATGAAGTTCCCCCCTCCTTTAAAGGAGGGATCTTCGGCCCAGATGCTGCTGCTTTTAGAAGAAAGGGCCCCCGAATAATTTGTGCTGGGCACAGTTTGCAATACAGAGCAGGGGACTCTGGAGATGGGAGGTTCTGCAGGTAATTTTTTTTCCAGGCTGGGGGTAGGGTGGTCTCTGGGGTTGAGGTTCTAAGGATTTGTGTGGGAACTTGGAGCAGGTTTACCAGATGTATTCTTTGGGTCACATCCCTAGAGTGATGTGAATGGATCTGTGGGTTCATTTATGGAGAAACTTGGTAACTGTTTTCTGAGCCCTGACTATGAGAAAATTCTACACAAATGGTTCCTTTTTGGAGTAACTAGATCATAGTGGCACATGTTCAGGAAACCAGCCCCTAGGATCCTGTGGCCCTTCACAGGACAAGCCCTTGGACTCTTGGCCCAGTTTGCTGCCAAGCAGATTGGGGGTGGAAGGACCAGCTGTATGCATTTCAAACCGCTGTGTGCTGGTGCTAAAGCTCTCAGAAGGGGCCAGCTTTTCTTGCCATGCTCCAGCACAGCAAACTTGGTGCCCCTTGGTGCGATTGTGTGTGCCATCACTTAAGAAGAAGGCGAGATTTATAACCAGGAGGCTTTGCACACAGAGACTCTGGGGTCCTCTGAATCTGTGGGCAGGACTGAGCCTTTCTTCTGCTAAAATGTGAAAAAGTGTTTTATTATTGCAATGGATATGAAGTGTTGCCCAGATGTACAGCCTTGCAGTTAATTACCTTGTTCTTCATCAAATATATGAGCAATAAATTCTCCAGGAAGGATCTCTCTCTCTCTCTCTCTCTCTCTCTCTCTCTCTCTCTCTCTCTCTCTGTGTGTGTGTGTGTGTGTGTGTGAGAGAGAGAGAGAGAGAGAGAGAGAGAGAGAGAGAGTAAATGGATGGATAGATGAATGCATGAGAGAGAGCAACTCATATTCTTTTTTAAGACCATGGAAAGAGACATACTATTTTATGGGAAGCTTGATATATACTACCAAAGATACTTTGAATTTTTCAGTGATCAAATATACATGATCAAGCTGTGCATGTTAGGGTGCGAGGTATGTTGACGGTCAATGGCTATTGATCAGGCTGTTAAGTATTTCTGCTCAGTTTTAGAAATATAGATAGATCCCAGATGATTTAATGAATTGGGTAACTAAGAAACTAGCATTTGGTTCCTTTTGCAAAGGGAAATGGCTAGTCAATTGAATAACAGCTCTACCATTGCTTAACCCCCATGTGAAAAGAAAATAGAAAAAGATAAGGAAAACCTTAGAAAGTGGGAATTTCATTAGCAGATATTTTCAAGAATGAAGTAAAAATATTCCAAATATCTTATTTGGCATCTGCCCAGAGCAATCACTTTAACCTGACCCAGCCTTGTTCACAGACTCAGAGTTTACATTTGACTGCCTATCCAGTTATCTGTCTGTTTTATACACACACACACACACACACACACACACACACACACCATTTTGCAACCAGTTTTGACCCACACTGATGCACCACTGAGAAATGGTGAGGGAACCATTTCTGGGGATAGGATCTAAAGTCCTGTACACCTTCTGCTTAGGAACCAAGCTAAATGGCCACATGGATTTCCCCAATTAACTAATTTATCATCAAAGGTCTACTTAGAAAGGTATGGAGAGATGGAGGATGGATATTTAAAGATAATCTCTAATTGGTTTGGAAAAATTTGGTCCATGACATCTAGATCCCCCTTCCTTCCTTTTTCATCCCCTCTCTCCTGCTCCCCTTTTCCCTTTCTTTCCTATGTCTTTCTCTCATTTTGCCTCCTAGAAATTAAAAGTGGACTTGAGGAAGGAGTTGCCTTGCATCACACACTTAGGGAGAGGAGAAGGGGGTGAAAATGAACTCTTAAATTTTATTGTTATATAGCAATTTTATTTATAACCATCCAATTAGCTATTTTGTAAAAGAAACATATTTAGGAAAATGAGCTCTCACTCAGACTGGAAAATTTAAGCTTACAGACAGGATTGATAGTTGGGACTTGTTTTTATACCTTAAAAAGACAGTGTAGATTTTTAGTGGGTTTTTTTTTGTCTGCAAAATATTCTTTTCCAGCTATGTACCCCTCATCAGAGAAGCTCATACATCCTTACTGATGAATCCCCTCTTGAGATGGAACCAAAATTGCGCCCCCCCCCCGCCCCGGTCTCTCAAAAAAAAAAAGTTGATCCACCCTGAAATGGAAGAGTCCCCCCTGATTGGGTGGACATGCCCTTTCACCTCACTGTGTCTGACCTATCACTTAATTAATCTCTCCCAGATGCAGAGCTGTCCACAATACCAATGGTGAGCAGTATCTGGAACAAAGCAGGAAGCTTTTAAAAGAAAGAACCACAGTGAGATTTGAGGCTCTTAAAGACGTGTAAATCATCATCTTTGGATTTGAATGTCAGAAAGGGTCCTAAGTTTGCTACAAACTTCCTGTGCCTTTCTTAGGCCACTGCTGTCTACGCAGATTCATTCTCTGCCTCTCTCTCCTCTGCCTCTGCCTCACTTTCTTCTGCCTCCCCCTTTCTCTGGATCCATGGCTGGTTTCTTGAAAACTGTCCTTTGCTTCTTAGCCTTGTCTTGGGCTCTTCAGACCCTTTCTATACCATTAGGGTTATCAAGGTGGCCAGCTTCAGAGGCTTTGAGTGACAAAATATTGACTTCGTTGGCTGGTACCTATGAACATTTGTGCTGGAGGCACCTTGGCGACATACAGAGGATAGTTCATTAATTTAACAACTTGCTAATTGCTGCTTGAGCTACTATATAGAGATGAAACAGGTTTATAAAAGATGACAATTTGAGGAATTCATATTTTTTGCTGAAAGGGTTTTCATAAATGGGTCCTGGAAATCGCTGCTTTGACTCATTGTCAACTATTCAATTGAGCTTCAGTTACTGGTAAAATATGATCCAGGACCCTTAATGGGGGGGCGCTGATGGGAGAGCTTTGTTGGATCTGGTGCAGGTGGCACTGTTTAATAAGCATGGGAAGAGTGGATAATGTACTGCTTGCAAAGAGAAGTAAATGCAAGATAGATCACTCTTAATTATGGCTGTCCCCAGAAATGGAGATGTAAGCTGAACGGTCAACTGAGGGGGGAGTTTCAAACAAACCCAATTGTCCACTGCCTTTTTTTCCTGCCTTTTCTTCTTACTCACTTTTGAGGGGACACAGTGGTTTGAAAGTCAATTTGGATGAACTCATCAGACCCCAAACAAGCACAAATTAAAAACCTGATTCTGCTAACCTATCAATGTCTACCTTAACTGTCTAGGAACCCTATTATCGGAGGGTCAGCTTTGGCGCTAATATAGGGCCCTCTGAACATTTCTTCCTACCAGAGATCCTCATAAGCTCATTGCAAACTAGTTTTCATATTTCATTGCAAAATGTCAGAGACTTTGTTTTTGTTTTTGTTTTGTTTGAATCTCTTAATGCTTGAAAAAAATGAATCTATAGGAAATCAAAGCGTGAATACTTAAGCAAACAGAATTTCCCATATACCTGCAAGGGCTCTAATGATTTCCATTCATGCAAAGATAATAAATGGGACATTAGTTGTTTTAATTAATGGAAGAATAAAAAATGCTGGGGGGTGTGCCTAGGGGCTGGGTTTCAGCTGAAGTGTCCGTGGGAAATGACTCATTCCTCACCTAAAGAGACAATAGCAACTTCTCTGTACAGCTAATCAGACCTGGGCAAAGTTGGGCTGGGGCTGGGGAAGGGTCTTTCTAAGAACTCTGGACAAGATGATAGTCATATTAGCCATTTTCTCTCTCAAACTCACTTTTCCAGTTGTAAAAATGCCTAAAAAAGGTTCAATTTGGGTTGAAGCCTAGTATGAT